ATTGCATTCCGTTCTATCAGTTACATAATTATACAGGTAGCATCCATCATTTTCAAAATGGCTTCATTGCTTGAGAAGCCAGCCCCAATGTCTTTCTTTTTACCCGAAAATGCTCATGGTATATAGCTCCACTCACCACAGCTTTACATATGTACAATATTGGTGACGATTAGGATCATTATCTATGGTTTGTCTGTCTGTTACCACGTTTTCTGCCACCACGAGCAACGGGACAACAAAAGAGTGATACCAAAAGGTTCAGCGCTACACTGGCTTAATTTTAAATGGCGAATGTCGTTAAAAGTACTGCGTTCCAGACTTATGGCGAACTTAAAACTACGATTCAGATTGGCTCATCATGGATACTGAATCAAAACCGTTTTTTGCCAAATTCATTACCTACTTCTCCATGTGTCTTATCAGGATGGGCGGAGTTCACTGATGTATGCATCTCAGAATGGACATGTGGAGGTGGTTGACAAGTTATTACAACATGGAGCCACAGTAGACCTGCAAAAAGAGGTACACACACTATATGTACATACGCAATGCAAGCAAACACGTGTGCAAAACGTAATCTCAGAACAGTGAGGTGAAGGGAACATGCATACTTCATAGTATGAGCTCTCTGAAAAAGTCTGTCGTCTAGGTCAGGTGCGCGATCAGCAACACAGCAGATTGCAATCCGTTTTATCAGTTACATATACATGTAGCATCCATCATTTTCAAAATAGCATAGAAACATGTGGCTTCATTGCTTGAGAAGCCAGCCCCAATGTCTTTCTTTTTACCTGAAAATGCCCATCGTATATAGCTCCTCTCACCGCAGGTTTACATATGTACTATATTGGTGACGATTAGGATCATTATCTATGGTTTGTCCGTCCGTTACCAAGTTTTTTGCCACCATGTGCAACGGGACAACAAAAGAGCGATACCAAAAGGTTCAGCGCTACACTGGCTTGATTTTAAATTTGGCGAATTTCGTAAAGGTACTGCGTTCCAGACTTATGGCGAACTTAAACTACGATTCAGATTGGCTTATCATGGATTCTGAATCATAATCGTTTTTGCCAAATTCATTACCTACTTCTCTGTGTGTCATGTCAGAATGGGCGGAGTTCACTGATGTATGCATCTCACAATGGACATGTGGAGGTGGTGGACAAGTTATTACAACATGGAGCCACAGTGGACATGCAAAAAGAGGTACACACACTATATGTACATACGCAATGCTAGCAAACACGTGTGCAAAACGTAATGTCAGAACAGTGAGGTGAAGGGAACATCATACTTCATACTATGAGCTCTCTGAAAAAGTCTGTCGTCTAGGTCAGGTGCGCGATCAGTAAAATAGCAGATTGCATTCCGTTTTATGCAGTTACATATACATGTAGCATCCATCATTTTCAAAATGGCTTCACTTCATTGCTTCAGAAGCCAGCCCCAATGTCTTTCTTTTACCTGAAAATGCCCATGGTATATAGCCCTGCTCACCACAGCTTTATATTGGCAACTAATTAGGATCATTATGTATCGTTTGTTCGTCTGTTACCACGTCAACGCGCAACGGGACACAAAAGAGCGATACCAATAGGTTCAGCGCTAAACTGGCTTGATTTTAAATTCAGCAAATTTCGTAAAAGTGTTGTGTTCCAGACTGATTGCATGGCGTTTAATGACAATTAGACGAAGTTAATGGGGGGGGACATACCGTTGCTAGGCTGGGGGAGGTGGGGCGCCCCACCTCCGCCCACGGTGGCGCCTCCTCAGCGACTCGCAACTGCGCATGTGCATACCGCAACCACGTGCAAACTGGGAAGCAACAGCAGCACGCAGGCAGTTCCCAGTGCTGAGTTACCGTCGCCGGCAGGTGGCGGGGCAGCGAGGACAGCGTGTTCCTCAGTTGTGCAAGGCCAGCGGGTGCCTCATTTTCTTTTCTATTCCCTCCCTCCCTACCCATTTTTCAGTCGTTTCCATCCCCACCTTCTGCTATATCTCTTACTTATCCAACTCTTATCTTTGCCCATCTCTTTGATGTGGCCTTCGTGCAAGGGTCATGGGGTGATAGGTCAGCCAGTGGCTGTAAGTCCCATGCTAATAAGGTGAAACCAAAGTTAAGTAGGGGGTTGTGCTTGGGGCAAGAGGCAATATTGTTTAGCCTAGCATTATGCGGGCTTACTGCGATCAGCCTGTTAGCATTATTATAAGTGATAGAGCAGCGCCCCCATAATTATGGAGAACGAGCCATGCAATGTAGTTGCCCCCGCTAATTTGCAATGCTAGTGCCGCTGACCCTTGCACGATACCTCCAAACCAACCCCATTATATAATGAGGGTTGTTAGGTGTGGCATTGGTGTAAACGGTGGGCCCACACATCAAGTGAAAACCAACTGAAACTACGATTCAGATTGGCTTATCATGGATACTGAATCAAAACCGTTTTTTGCCAAATTCATTTGTACTTCTACATGTGTCACGTCAGGATGGGTGGAGTTCACTGATGGCTGCATCTCTGAATGGACATATAGAGGTAGTGGACAAGTTATTACAACATGGAGCCACAGTTGATCTTCAAGATAAGGTATGTAAAACGCTATTTAAAATAATGAGTAAATGTAAGTGACCACATGTGAAAGGTTAATCATGTCTACTCAATGCAAAAGTATGATTTCAGCGTCAGGTTTAGCATGGCATGATATGTACTCATTTTAGTACAATACTCTCCAAAAAAACCACCTAGATGATAAAACTATGATTCACATTGGCTTATCATGGACACTGAATCAAAACCGTTTTTTATTACCTACTACTCTGTGTGTCACGTCAGAATGGGTGGAGTTCACTGATGGCTGCATCTCAGAATGGACATGTGGAGGTGGTGGACAAGTTATTACGAAATGGAGCCACAGTAGATCTGCAAGATGAGGTAATGAACACGTTTCTTTCACTGATTACCTTGTAGTTGGGTGGCTATCAATACAATTCTATTCTGAATTTTAAGCATGGTTTAAAAAAGTTTCTCGTATTTCACATGTTACATTACTTTTCTCTGTGCTAGGATGGGTGGAGTTCGCTGATTTTGGCATCCTCATTGGTGGTGTTAACGTGTATCGACTCCCGCATGCTTTCTACTACCGTAGCTAGCCTTGTCAGACTCTACGTGAGCTACTAGCGGAAGACCACGAGTAAACGCATACTACGGCCCAACCCATCAATTAGCCGTATCACACAAGCGCAGTTTGCCGGGGGTTTGTACTTCAGTGCTTTTTTATTACTACAGTATCAGGACTCGGCACTAATGATGGGCCTGTTATAACAACGACTTGACCACGGCTTCAGTCCTTCTCAGAGCTGGTGCCTACCCAAATAGCTGCAACAAGGTATTGCCTCTATCAGTCCCTATGTGTTGCCAGTTTGTTCATACTATTCCTCACAGTTTGGACAGACTCCACTACTGTTGGCTGTAAGAAAGAACAATGTGGCAATGGTCAAGGAATTGATAGGGGCAGGAGTTGATGTTAACAAAATGGAGCAGGTATTAATTTTATGTTGGTTGAGTTGTAGGATTACCCTTCACCTGCACATAAGGTTACCTCAGAACTTACCTTACCTTACCTCTGAAGGAACCTCTGAACAAGGGAAAACATGGGGCCATTACTTTTTAGAGAGGTCGTCCCTATCTCAGAGGTCAATTAATGGGATTGAAACAAGTGTCCTTTGTAGAGTATATAAGTATTGTACAGAGGTCATCCCTATCTTGGAGGGTCCCTTATCAGAAGTTCCACTGTAGTTGTTTGGTCTGTCATTTCCATGTTTTCTGCCACCATTTTTTATACATATGACTTCAATGGTACATTGCCTTTTTTCTTCATAGGAAGGACTCTCTGCTTTGATGATGTGTTGTGACGAGGGAAATTCAGAGATGGCAAAACTTCTACTTCATTATCAGGCTAATGCTGACCTCCAGCAATCGTAAAGTTCCTAATATTGTTGAGATTGATTGACAATATTATGACAAGCCTATTATGTAACTCAGGAAACTGGATACACAGCTCTGATGTTTGCCTGCAAGGGAGGTCATCTCGACACAGTAATGGTTCTCATGGAACACGGAGCTGATGCAAAGATTAGGAATGTGGTATGTCACACAGCCTTCTATATACCTAACATTTCGAGATTTTCATAATTGCAGGAAGGCATCACAGCATCCGATGTGGCATCAGCCAATGAATTTTGGGATTTGTGTGCCGTAATTGAACTAATGGAGCCACAAGCTACAGCTCATATCACAGAGGTTAGTTTACGTGCAATGCTAAACTTGTGGCAACGGGTAAGTTTGATCAGCAAGATGGTCACGTGTGTCTGTATTAGGTTTATGATGTTAGATATGTTCAAAATATATACATTATTGTCTTTTCATACAGCACCCTGACACTTCTCTGATGAAAGAAACAGTGGACGAAGTGGTCAAAAGGTTCCATGCTCAGATGGATCATGTCCCATTGTTATCACTGTATGACAGCGACAAAGATGTGGCCCTCAAAGTCCCAACAGCATATTTTAAACATCATCACACATGATTTGTGTATACTGTGCATCGATCCATATCCTCTTCCAATGCATGGCACCTGCTGAATCCTACACTCTTATCCTACATTTTAACGCCTTGTGCATAAGGCGCAGTATGTTGAACCTACAACTGGAGCGATAGCTGATAGTCCGAGTCCAGCCCCACCCACAAGTGCTTTCAGCGCGCGCACGCGCATAGCTTTGTTTATTTGTACGCTAGCTGCTGACAGTGCACAGTCCCACCCATCCATACACACAGAGGAAGCTTCTACTCCGCTGGGATCACGAAAACTGCCAGTAACATCGACGTCGCTTATCTTGACCATGTCTGATCAGGTAGGCGGGTGTTGGTCATCACGGAAACAACCCTTTTAGATGCTTTATTACGTTTGAGGGCGGGGCATGTTCATACCTAGCTACTATACTACCACCGAATATTCTTCCAGTTGGGTATTGATGACTTTGCCGAAGTCCAAGAGGCTCTGTGGGCCGCCAGATCAAAATGGCACAACATTGGGACCCGACTCAAACTAGAGGGTTCTTTGAGCTGGATGCATCAATTCTGAGCCAGGGTTTGGTCTGGATGACAAGTTCAACCTCATGATCAAGACCAGGTTGAAGAAGATTGAGCCATGCACCTGGAGAGATCTCTACGATGCATTAAATCATCCTACTGTTGCCATGTCTGATGTGGCAAATAAGCTTTCAGCAAAGCTAACAACTGGTAGGTTGAGTATTATTCCTACAGTCAGTATCCTGATGCAATAACTATTCTCCTACGTATCAACAGCTGAAGTACCAAATACAAGGGCTGGAGATGCTGCATTATCCATGAGCAGTACATCACTGACTGTGGCCAATACCTCATTTGACAGTGGAGACACCAAAGGTGACACAGGCCTAGACAGGATTGTTTTCACTGAGGCAGTCAGCAATTTTACTATCCATTTTCTAGCAGTCAAGTATTTTTTCACTGAGGCAGCCGCTAGCCTCGTTCTCTCTCCAAGTGCACATATTTTATGCCAAAGGTTATTGTGCGCACAGAGAGGGGGAATAAAGTTTGTGCACGCGTAGGGGGGCAAAGGTCATGCGAATAAATTACGTGTGCAGAGAGGGGGATAAAAATAATTATGCGTGCTCTTGTGGGCCACACTACATGGTCTAGCTAAAGACAGTTTCTTGCTTAGGCTGGCAGCAATAAAGCGAGTAGCATCTGGGGAAATGCTGGACTGAGTAGTCGTCCTCTGAGATACCTACTCATTCCCCCACAGTGTGAACAGGCAAACACTGGCCATAATTATTTTCAGTCCAAAACTTTAATACAAGCCAGCATAGAGCTGTGATTACTACTGGTTCGTGGTGACCTGCCAGATGAAAGTCAGAAGGGGAGGGAAAAGGGGACAGACATTATAAAAAAAACCTTGGATTCAAACCCTGCTTTTTGCTGATAAGCAAGAAATGTAACCCACTGGTGTTAGAGACATGCTAGCCTCGTTCCTAGGTTCACCCTCTCCACGCACACAATTTATTTTGCTCCCCCTCTCTGTGCTATGCAGTGTTTCCCGCAGGGTATACGCAAACAGAGTGCTTATGAATTATTAATTACCTCGGCTTTCTGGCTAAAAAACATTACTTGCTACTCACCTTTCAAAGCACTTCCTGTTGGGAAATCCCCTACTTGTCTAAAGTCTACTCTAGCTAAACGCAGCGTGTAACTGCACACATTGTAGCATTTTACCAACGCACAATAATTGTATATACACGCCTATTTTCCGGCTTTTTCAATCAAGAAGGAAAGATTGATAAGTTGCAGAAAAAATACATAGACTTATCTGTTTGTGCTGTCTATAAGAATGTTTCCATTGAGAATATGCGTTACTCCCTCCTCTGTCTTCCGTCTAATCTCAAAAAAGAGCACAAAAGGTTCCTCAGGGAAGCAAAGGCTGATATCAAGGAAGGTTAGGTTAGAGAACGACCTTGTTTTTTCAGTGGTGCATGCATCATGAACCCCTGTGATAAAATTTTAGGTTTCCAACACACAAAAGCCTGTCTACCTACAACCGTTTTCTCCTTTCCTTGTGTGTGCCTTGCATGCGCGTACAACACGGCGGAGTCCCTGAAAGGAGCTGGACTTCCGCGATAGCGGCTCCTGAGCTCTCAGTCTCTGAGATCAGCATTGAGGGAGAGGCACAGTAGTAGCCATACTGAGTGAGAGTTTGCTGTGCCACAGCACAGTGGTTTGAGGCTTGCCTTTGTGTTGTGTTGTGTTGTAGATTCGAACCCCTACCAGCTGAGTTGCCCAGGTAGCTCAGTTGGTAGAGTGCTCGCATAGAGTGCAGAGTGTCGTGGGTTTGAAGAGCAGCTTTTTCTTTTTCCTTGGAAAAAAAGAGTAGTCCTGGGTGTAGTTGACTTGGTTGCTTTGCCTTTGCCTTTCTGCCT